TAAGGAACCCTGACAGTAATATTGGTAATCATGTTGGCTTCTATACTAGTTAGGTTGCCCAAACTTAGGGGTTATAATATAAGCAGCTCAACACTCAGCTGCCTTGAAGGCTTTAGGTCTTCTTTTTTTGGTTTAGGGTTTAGGGTTTAGGGCTTCAGGTTTAACTCTACAGCCACCCATGACCAATGAACCTTCAAGCCCAGAATCCCATGAGCGGCTGAGATCAAGACAAGTCCCGGATCTGCTCGTTGTAGATCTCCATGAAGGAAATCTGGCAAAAGCTTCCCATAACGCAGGGGTTTAGGGTGTAGGGTTTAACCATGGCAATAAAGCTGAAAGTGAAGTCCGACTATCGCTTCAACACGAGATGCTGTGGATTCTGGCTGGCACGCTACCCTTAACCCAAAGCCCTAAGACCAAGACCGTCGATATAGGAAGCTGCTTTTGTGCTCACAACAGACAAGCCCGACTTGATGCAGGTCAAGGTATGGAGACAACCTTCCGTGAGTTAAGCGCTTAGGGTTTAGGGCCTAAGGGTCGCAACATGATTTCAACGGAGCCGATGCTGGCTGCCCCCCCCCATCCAAAAGCAGCAGAAGGCAGCCAAAACAGCGACTATAGAGTCCGTGTTATTAGAACAGGATTTTAGGGTATACGGCAGCTTTTTACATACGGACTATGATCAATCAGTATGAATAGCTTTCAGACCCCTAGATGTCGACCCCCGACCCAGCCAGCCTGCGCCCTTTACACCAGAAACACCCTGCAAAAGCTTCGCCGCGGACACCCACACCCGAAGCTCATCGTTCTTGAACTTCATCCGATGTTGGTGGAAGAGGCCCTGGATCAGAGCTAGGGTTTAGGGTTTAGGGATCAGAGCTGCGGCATGAGATGGCATAGATTTAAGGAGCCCTCCAGAGGAGCGGCCTGGAGAGCACAAAACAAACTCCCATGAACCTCGAAATCATCTCTTGGATCCCTCTACTTGGAGGTTCATGGGTAGTGATAAGTGGGGGTTTTCAATAGGGTAACTTTAGTTATCACCCATATTAGGGGACTTATAACCCTACTTACAACTACCCATGAACCCTAAACCCTAAACCCTAGACCCTAAACCCTAAACCTTAAACCCTAAAGCCCTAAACCCCAAAATACTTATAGCTACCCATGACCTCCAAGTAGACTTGGGAGGTAGATAATAAGTCCCTTTAATATGGGTGATAAACTATAGTTACCCTACTTATAACCCCCACTTATAACTACTCATGAACCTCCAAGTAGAATTCTTCGTCGGATACTCCGAGCTTTGCACTTCAGAGTCCGCGGCCAGCAAGGTTTCAAGACTCAGGGCTTCGTCTTGAACTTGGAGGATCATGAGACTTCGGAAGCCAAGAGTTAGGTGGAGGCTCATAAGCAGCTGTCAGTCTAGCTTCCCTAATACGATTTCTAATTACTAAGGTCCCCATGATCGCCCGTAAACTCTACTCGCGGGACTGAGGGAACTGCTGCTGACGGCATGGCGTGTAAGACTAGGCATGTAGGCTCCTTGCTGCAACCATCCCTGCTCTTGGTTCCTGAGTAGCCCCTTTATGATAAGGGTACCCTTTTTCCTACTATTCGGTTTTAGTAAGGGGGGCCTACAATAAAAAGGGCAAAAGGGTACTACTCAGGGACCTAGTGCTGTGCACCGACAACGTCTCTCCAGGACCTTGTGACCCTTGAAAACGCCCATGCAAGTAGTTCTCTAAATTAGGGCCCCTCTTAAGGGTCACTTTATAAAGGTGCCGTACTATGTGGGGGACCCAAAAAAGGGACCCTAGTTTCGAGAACTACCTATGTCCCCAGCCTCGAGCACATAGGGAATCAGGCCCATCTGCTTGTCTTTGGCAGTGCTGTTCAGCGTGTGGGTCTTCCCGGCTCCTTCTCCCAATCCCTACCCTGAACCCCTAAACCTGACAATCCCGGAAGCTCCCAAAACCTCTACAGTCGGCAAGTTAGGGTTGAGGGCTTAGGGTTTAGGGTTTAGAGTTTAGGGCTTGGAGTTGAGGGTTGAAGGTTGAGGGTTTGGGGCAGTTAGAGTGCGCTTAAGCTCAGCTAACCCTTTACGCCTAGATGCCTTTGGGCTTTCAGGGTGGGGTTCGCAATCTTCAAAGGTCTGAAACTCGCGGTCCCCTCTTAGTATCTTTGTAGGTACTATAGTTCCCTTGTAGTACGTACTGTAGTAAACTTGCAGTACCCTCATAGTACCCGTAACTATAGTAGACTTGTAGTGCCCTTATAGTACCCATGTCGTACCACGGCCGACGAAGCTGTGTTGCCGCCGCATGTTCTAGGCTGATAGGGTTCAGGGGGCTTTGGGTCTGGGGTTTGCGTTGTGGGGTTTGGGTTTTCAAGCACCTGCATCTCCCGATCATCAGGCCAGGGGTTTAGGGAATTTGGGATGGGGCCTCCAGGGTTTAGGCGTCAGGGTTTAAGATCAGACTCAGATGCCTGTCATCCCTCCACAAAAAGCCGAACTCCTCAACGGCGAAGCCTTGAGCACTGTAGCCTTCGATCCGGAATGCTAAAAGTCCCTGCGGTGAAGTCGACTCCTGTCTGTCCGTATGCGAACACACAGAAGTTGTAGCCCTTCAGCATGTTCCTCAAGGGCTTAAGTCTTGCTTTGTTGTGGGGTTGGGGTCTACGGCCCTTTTCTGTAGGGTTTCCGGGTTTCGAAGTGCAAGGATGGGAGCAACCGCCTTGGAGGATCCAGAAACTTAGAAAAATGGGGCTCTGGGTCTGTAGGTAGCCTCGTTGCATGCATCTCTGCAGCTCTAACCACTACAGCCATTAATTCTGTCGAGTGAGATGCGGGGACCGCGAAGCCCTAAACTGGGTTGTAGAATTGGGGCCCTAACAAGTATAGGTACGTCTATAGGAACCATAAGGGAAATTTCAAAGTTTCCAAAAGTGCCACCTAGCAAACCCTAAACCCTATCCCCTAAGCCCTAGACCCTAAACCCCTAAACCCTCAACCCTAAACCTTGAACCCCTAAACCCTAAACCGTAAACCCTAAACCCCTAAACCACTGAACCCGTAAACCCCTAAACCCTAAATCCATGAACCCTTGTGGTTTGAGAGGGTGGAGACAGGTCGAAGCTCCGGCGCTGCGAGAGCTCAGCGTTGGTTTAGGGTTTAGGGTTTAGGGTTGAGGGTTTAGGGTTGAGGGTTTAGGATTTAGGGGTCAGGGGTTAGGGGTTTAGGGGTTTAGGAGTCAGGATTCGGGGGACCCTTGGGGAGAAAGACCCTCTCAATAAGGTCCCCTTGTAAGAGGGCCACAAGAAGGGTTCAGAAGGGTCCCCTTTAAGGGGTCTCCCTAATCCTACCTACCACCTGGTGGAGTTTTGGCAGATCCAACAAATGCAGCTGAGGGCTTAGGGCTTAGGGCCTTGGTCGTCTGGGGCTTGGGGTCTTAGGGTTTAGCGCTTATAGGGTCTTAGGCTTTAGGGCATGGGGTCTTAGGGTTTAGGGCTTAGGGTCTTAGGGTTGAGGGCTTAGGGTCTTAGGCTTTAGGGCTTATAGGGTCTTAGAGTCTTTGGGCTTAGGGTCTTAGGGATTCGGGTGATACCTCAGGCGGCACGGCGCAAAGAGCCGCAAGGGAAGTGCAGAAGCCATACAACGAGCACTAGCCGCTCATCGTCACGGTAGTTGTGCACAAACGGCATCCGCCCAGGCAGACGACGCAGGCAAGATGGTAGCACCACACTGGGAGGCCGAGAATCTGCATCAACAAACCCAGCCCTGAATGCCACCCCGAAGCCAGGTGCAACAAACCCAACAGCAGGCGTGGAAGAGAAACGATAAATTCGAAAAAATCCTGGCCTCGAAAGCCCTCCCTTAACCCTAAACCCTAAACCCTAGCAATCCACCTTGCCACTCATGGCGGGCAGGTTGGAACACAGAGTTCTGAGTGACGCGCTCCAGACAAGGCTTCCCGATGTCGCTGTTCACCTGGTCCTGGGCTTCGTCTCATCTTGGGTTTAGGGGCTTAGGGTTTTTTGGAGAGTTTATTGCTTTAGGGCTTAGGGTATTTAGGAGAGTTTATTGCTTTGGGGCTTAGGGTTTTTAGGAGAGTTTAGGGTATGTCCACATTCCTTTTCGTGTCTGTACGGCTACCATCTACCATCTTCTTGCTGCTATGATCTGTTGTACTGCGGGATTTGAATGTGACGATGCGTGAAGGTGAAAAAGTAGAGTGAGATGAACATCAAGATGAGGTGACGATGATGATGATGACGGCCATGATCATGATCATGATGATGATCATGATGATGATGATGGTGATGATCAGAAGATGATGATGGTGATGATCGGAAGCAGAAAGCACCGGGATCGAGGCCTCTTCGGTCTACAGTCTCGAGTTCCAGGGACTCATGCGATAGCTTTTTGAGGCTTCTGGCTCTTGGAATTCTGAAAGTCTGGACCAAGCCAAAGCAAGCGACCCTCCCGACATCCCTGAACCATGAAATCCCGGCCCCACACAGAAAGAACCAAAAAGAACAAACAAGGACCGCGTCCGAAGCCAAAGTTGAGATTTACTGGCGTACTGGGATTCAAAGTTGAGGCCCAGGCCTGGCTGGCGAAGTGCACATCCTTCGGGCTCACGCTCCAGTACGCGTGGTCGAACCTGCCACGAAGAGACGCTAAGACTCTCAGCTTTTGCACCCGCGCTGTTGCTGCGAGAAGAGCCGGCAAGTTTTGGGTCATGGTCACTCGCCGTCCGGCCCCATGGCTTCCTAGGGCCCTAGGGCCCTCTTATGGATCAAGACGCTCTCAGAATGACGAGGCTCTTTCCGGCTCCGGTGCTTCGCAGGAGCCTGAGTCTTCTTCCGGCCGGATCCCACTGAACAGGGTTTAGGGTTTAGGGTTTGGGGTTTAGGGTTTAGGGTTTAGGGTTTAGGCCAAAGCCAGTGCTTTCGACAGAAAAGAGGCCGCGAGGCTTCAAGACGGAGGCTCCTGCTCAGGACGTGCAAGCGGCCTTGCAAACATTCTGCTGGGCTTGGGAGCCCCCGCAGCAGTCACAGTACTTGTAGTAATGCTGGGTAGGGTGGTTCTCCTTCCAATTCTCCTGGTACCAGTTGTAGCCGCAGGTGCCCTCGCAGCCCAGTTCGCAGGCGGGCCGAGAGATCAGCCCCGCCGCGCCTGCGCAGACTTCTTTGCAGTCGTCTTGCTGAGCCTGGCTTCCTCCACAACATCCACAGTACTTGTGGAAATCACGGGATGGCAAACCGTTTTGCCATTGACTCTGATACCAGTTGTAGCCGCACCTGCTGCAGCCTAGCTGGCACTCCACCTGCTTCAGCCCAACTGCTTCATCCATTGAGCCAACGAGCATTCCTGAAGATTCGACCCTGTCGACACGGAAGTGGCCGGTGACATGAAAGACCTTGCCATTTGCATAGACGCCGTGCTTGAGCCCCATACCGCGCTCCAGGACATTTTCCACTGTTTTCTCGCTCAGTTTAGTCGCAAGCTTCGTCCCTAGCTTACCGACAGCACTGACACCAGCCGTGAGCGCGTCACCAATCACACCAACGATCGGCTCGGCCACACTCCAGCCGTTGAAGAGCTGGGCCCTTTCAAACTTAGCTTGCGCCCTCACGGTGAACCACACAACTCCACAATAGGCACGCCATCGCTGCCCAGGTTCCAGGACGTTGACATAGTGCAGAGGACCGATATGTTCTAAGGACACTGCCACAGGGAAGTTGGCCTTGTTCACGAAATACATGCAGGGACCTGCAACTGTCTCATTGCCCTGTCCCTGCGACCTTGCACTATCAGTCACAAGCGCTCCATGACGATCTTCTTGCCGTACAGCGCCAGCACACAATAAGAACAAGTTCAAGAGCTTAGCAAACTGCATTACCATGGCGCATTGGGCTCAGACTTTGGGGTTCGAACCGAGTCGGCCACAAGTGGACAGTGATAAGGACGACCAAGCATGTTCCAAATGCGCAGCAAAAGTGCTGAGTGAACCCTACAGCACAACTCTTCGAGGATCGTTATGGATCAAGGCCACCTTATCTCAGAGCGATACCCCCGTCCCACGCGCCAGAATACCATGCCATCATCTGTCTCTGGTACCTAACATGAGCCTGAGTCTCCTTTTGGCCGGGTCCGACTGAGAACCCAGTGCTTCCGATGGGAAAGAAGGACACAAGACTGAGGAGTACAACAATAACACAAGACATAACAACAAGATGGAGATGCTGCTAGAACTCATGTTCCGTTGCAATGTTCAAGAGAAACAGCGCACGCCGTCGTCAACATGGCAAATAAGGCAGCAGTGGAAGCACGACAAATGATAGCGCCCCGCATATGCAGCACCCCAATACATTGACCCGAAAAAGGAAGGAACACAAATGAAGGGCGGACCCAAATGTTCGATGCTGGTTCGCGTGCACCACCGAGACGGCCTTGAGCTGGGGGCTTAGGGTGGGTTTAGGTTTGGGTTTTAAGGACACTTCAAGCACTGCAAACTTTAAACCCTAAACCCTAAACTTTAAACCCTAAACCCTAAACCCCGAAACCCTAAAATACTTACAGGCCCTGATCGCAAAAAAATGCCTCAACTCGAGCCATTAGGCTCCTCGACCTCAGACCCCGAAACTCCTATCATCCAAAGCCCCACTCCCTGACACATGTAGCTCAGGTCTTGAACCCCATAACCCCAAAACCCTAAACCCTGGAACCCTAGAACCTTAGAACCCTAAACCCTGAACCCTAAACGCCAGAACCCTAGAACCCTAGAACCCTAGAACCCTAGAACCCTAAAACCCTAGAACCCTAGCACCCTAGAACCCCAGAGCCCTAAACCGGGAACCCCAAAGACTGAAGATTTCAAAAGCCCTGAAGATCCCAAACTTAAAGTAAACAAACCCTAAACCCTGAAACCCTAAACCCTAAACCCTGAACTCTAAGAACCCTGAACCCTAAACCCTAAACCCTGAACCCTAAACCCTAAACCCTCAGACCTGAGCCAGAAAACCTTGAGCCATTAGGCCGAACCCTAAGGCTCCAAGTACCTCTAAGGGTTTATGGGTTTAGGGGTTTTAAGGGTTGAAGTCTTTCTTTTAGGGTTTAGGGGTTTAGAAATTTGTTAAGGGTTCAGGGTTTAGGCTTTGCGGGTGTAGGGGTTTACGGCTTAGGGTTTTGGGCCTGAGGGGCGTGATGTTCTGCAGAGTTTAGGGCTGAGGGCGTCTATACCATTTCGGCCTGAAAGTGCTCACACAGGGACCCCTTTGAAGCCTGAGTGCCCAAGTATATGCTGTTTGGGCATATGGAGCCATGCAGCCGATGGGCCCCCACACGCTAAACCTTTCGGTTTAGGGCTTAGGGTTTAGGGTTTAGGGCCTAGACCCTAAACTAAACCCTAAACGCTCAGTCCCTTCGTCTTGCCGCGCAACGGCTGTCCTGGACGTAACGATTCCATCAATGTTTACAGTGTTTTGGTGGTTTACGAAATACCAAAACCCGTCATTTCCCAAGACCAATCTTATATAAAAATCAAGACTAAGCTGCAACCCTCTCGAGCGAAACGTGTTCGGATTTATTGTTGTAGCAGTAGAAGTTATGTTTGGATACAATATAATGTGCATTGTGTAAGAACATGGACGTCATTGCGGTTTGGGCATGGATGCTCTCTCTTCCCCGATCGCACTAGACCTTGGACGTCATTAGGTTTTGGGCATGGATGCTCTTCCCCAATCGCACTAGACCATGGACGTCATTAGGTTTATTCATTTCGGAGGGCCCACGGCCTGGAGCCGAAATGCCGGAGGCCCCATCGAATTCGGACCCCTGGCAGCCAAAAACCTCGAAAAACGCGCGGCGTTCTGAACCCCGTGAAGTGCGGCATTACGCTGGGTCTGAGGGCGAAACCCTAAACCCTAAAACGCTAAACCCTAAACTAAACCCTAAACCCTAAACTTCTCTGGCCAAACCCCCCCCCCCCCGGGGCTCCGAGCCGCGTTGTGAACGGTCACGGCAATGTTCGCCTAAAGCGAAGCTTGGCAGCAGCTCAAAAGAGCCGCCCTAAGTCTAGGTTTGGGGTTTAGGGTTTAAGGCTTAGGGTTTAGGGGTGAGGAAGGTGAATCAAGTTATCGACAGAGCCCTAACATGGATAAGAAGTATATGTGTAGTTCTCTGAATTAAGCTCCCTTTCAGGGTCCTTTCTTTTTAACAGGGTGCTGTACTTTGTTGGGGACCTAAAAAAGGGGACCCTGATTTAGAAAACCAGCCATATTTCCATTCCTCGAAAAAGCTCATCCCTAAACCCTAAACCCTAAACGGCTTGTGAGTCCTTGGGTCTCCGAGGTGAGAGCTTAGGTCTAGGGTCTAGGGTTGAGAGTCTAGGTTTAACCTGTTCTTAAAACAGCCTATGCTTTCCTTAAAACAACACTATGGGCTAGGCTGGAGGGTTTAGGGTTCAGGGATGAAGTTTCAGATTGGGGATTTAGGCAGCTTTCAACTCAACACAGCCTGGGAGACGGGAGACAAGCTTATAGGGCTTGGGTGTTTTGGTCTAAACCCTAAACCGTTGGGATTTGGCTTTTTTGGGCTTTTAGTCTTTTGGGTTTGGGCTTGAGGGCATTTAGGGCTTAGGCTTCCAGGGTTTAGGGCTTCGGGCCAAGGGTGGGGAGACGAGGGGCGTTCGACGTGCCACCGACGATTGTGGCGTTCCGAACGGAATCTCGTGGCCGTAGGATTTAGGGTTTAGGGTTTAGGGTTGCAGAGCTTTCTTTAACCAATGAAGATGCGCAAGAGTGCTATGCAATGTGTTGAACTTTGCCCTGGGAAGGCGTCTGTTTCTGACACATCCAGCTTGCTCTGCGGAGACATCTGTGTCTGGCGACTTTGCATCCTGTTCACAGAGACAGCCGCGGCAGCTACACAGGTGCGCACTCCGAACACGAGCCCCAAGCTCGTGTCAAAGGCTGTGCAGCTCATACCAAGGATGCTTGCACAGAGTTCCCAGTTCCCTCTTACAGTACTTGGAGGTTCATGGGTAGTTATAAGGTAAGGCTATAAATCACCTAAAATGGGTTATAACTATAGTTTCCCTATTTATAACTTATAACTTATAACCCCGCTTAACTACCCTAAACCCTAAACCCCATGAACCCTCCTACAGTACTGCCACCCTGACCGGCAGCACCGGAGGCTCAGCCCGCATCGAACGCAACTTGAGAAAATCCTCAGCTCGAGGAGTTTAGGTTTTAGTAGGATTTAGGGTTTAGGCTTTAGGGTTTTGGGTTTTGGGTGAGGGGTTTCTTAGACAGAGACCAGGGGCTTACTTGGAGGTTCATGGGTAGTTATAAGTGGGGTTATAAGTAGGGTAACTATCCATATTAGGGGACTTCTAACCCTACTTATAACTACCCATGAGCCTCCAAGTAGAGCAAGTCAACGACCAACTTGGGCCCTTCAACCCCGGGAGATCATAGCTACTTCGAGCCGTAAAACCCTAAAACCCTTAAACTCCTCAAAGCCCCACCTTAACCTACGAAAACCTACCTTTTGTTGTGTGGGTGAACTATGATAAACCCTGATATGGAATTTATAGGGACCCTACGAAATACTAATTTTTTGGTAGGTTAAGGTAGACCCTAAACCCTCAACCCCTAGACCCAAACCCTGAAACCCTGAATCCGAGGCCTCAAACCCAGCAGATTCCAAGCGCAGCAACCGAGGAGAGTACGCCGGCATCGATCTCACGCTGAAGGAGCGGCCGCACTCTGACGGCAACCTCTTCCGACTCGTACGAGGGCTTTTGGTTTGGGTTTTAAGGTTTAGGGTTTTAGGGTTTAGGGCTTGGGGGTTTAGGGTTTAGGGTTTTAGGGTTTAGGGCTTGGGTTCTAAGGTTTAGGGTTTTAGGGTTTAGGGCTTGCTAGGGTTTAGGGTTTAGGGTTTTGGAATTTAGGGCTTCGAGTTTCCGGCTTAAGGTTTGAGGGTTCCGGCCTCGTTAGGTTGGCAGCGTCGGGGGTTTCGTCTCTTCTAAGGCCTCCTTTAGTGGGGTTGGGGTTCACATTTGTGTCCCTAAACCCTAAACCCTAACCCTAAACCCTAGCAAGCCCTAAACCCTAAAACCCTAAACCTTAAACCCCAAGCCCTAAACCCTAAAACCCTAAACCCTAAACCCTAAACCGGGAGTCCTGTCTGGGATGTCGGGCCCTTCGGGAAGCTCCTCGGGTTCCCTTCAAAGCGATATCACAGGCCCTAAACCCTAAACCCAAAACCCTAAGCCCTAAACCCTAAACCCAAAACCCTAAACCCAAAACCCTAAACCATCTGCAGGCAAAAATCTTCTCAACTGCTGCAGTGAACACAACCCAACAACTCGAAGTCCCATGGAATTCAAGGCAAACACGCGGACCACGTGCTGCTGCCTTTATCGTCTCGGCCATCCCGCACCGCTACACCTCAGTGGCCACAGTTTGGATTTTGCCAGTTACGTTAGTCCCTTAGGTCCGGATTCAAGACTTGGGGTGGGGTGCTTCTTCTTCACAGCCTGTAGAATATGCCGCAGTTTGTCTGAGTCTGTGTGCTGGGCCCCTCCGACAAAAAAAGCGTCTTCGTTGATGAAGCACCCTAAACCCTAAACCCTAAAACCTGTTCTACAACGTGCTGAATTAATGCAGAGCTGGAAACCCCACCCTGGCGGTATATCCCGCACGCTCGGCCTCGATAGACGAGGAAACATGTGTGTCTTTCTTTTGTTTAAGTTAAGGTTTTTGAGTTTTAGGGTTTACGGTTTAGGGCTTTAGGGCCTGAGGGAGTGGGATGTAGGGTAAACCCAAAACGCTAAACCCTGGCCGGCAACGATGTCCAACCAGGCCAATGCATCAAAGCCTGTTCAAGCGCATTCTGAGCAACCAAGCGGCTGTTCTCATGGCATGACGTGGAACGTCGCAAGTCTAGCTAGCCCACGCCAGCTGCGGCTTATTCGTTTTCTTTGGTCTTGAGACAGAACCAGCTGTGCTTTGCAGCAGTGCTGGTTGCTGTGGCACATACTGCTGCCATGAAGCTCCTGCAACAAGCTTTACGTGTTTCCGCTCTTGTTCGACATGGTGCAATTCTACAAACGCAGTCATAACCGAAGTTTAAACAGCTGCAGCAGGAGGATGCCCAAATCATTTCAGTGACATGGTTGCATGGCATGTCACAACTCAATTACGTGCTAGATGACAGACTGGTAACAAGCCGCACAATAAACCCGAAACCCAAACCCACAAAAAAATACTGAACTCAAAGCCTCTCTTGAGTCAACAGAAATCGGTAACATCGCATCACAGATCCCTAGGTCTTGCAGTTTATGGCTTAGCGTAACCCCTAAACCCTAAACGGTCTAAGGGTTTAGGGTCAGGGTTTTTGCGCATCCTGCTATTCAGGAGCCTTCCGCCGCTTCCCCAACGACTTCGGAGTTAGAAATAAGCCTAATTAGGGTTGAGGGTTTAGGGTTTAGGGTTTAAGGGTTTAGGGGTTTAGTTTAGGGTTTAGTTTAGGGTTTAGGGTTGAGGGTTGAGGGTTTAGGGTTTAAGGGTTTAGGGGTTTAGGGGTTTAGGGTTTAGGAGTTTACGGTTTAGGGACTACTAACAAAAGCCCTAAACCCCAAAGGCTAAACCCTAAACCCTACATGTTGAACACTAGCTTGAACCGGGGAAGTCTCCACTAAGGGCTTGGAGGCCACTTCAGCGTGGGTGTCGTGAACTTCTTCGAAGAGGCCCTTGGAAAGGCGCTCGAAAGCTAGGGTTTAGGGGTTTAGGGGTTTAGGGTTTAGTTTAGGGTTTAGTTTAGGGTTTAGGGTTGAGGGTTGAGGGTTTAGGGTTGAGGGTTTAGGGTTTAGGGGTTTAGGGTTGAGGGATGCTCTTTAAATTAGGATCCAAGGCTTCCTTTAAGGGATCTACAGGGGATCTTTCAGGTTCAGGGTGTAAAAGGGTTGTTCTCTAAATTAGGGTCCGTTTTGAGGCTTCCGCTTTAGGGATTCTGGCCTGATTAGGTGTAGTTCTCCAGGTTCGGGTCCCCTTTTAGGGTAGTTATTATGAGTACTAGTTTGGACCAGAGGGGCCTAATTTAGAGAACTACCCATATCACTGTGACAGGATGTATCTTTTTTGCCGGCCATTCTTCCTAAACCCTAACCCTAAACCCTAAACCCTAAACCCTAAACACCAAACCCTAGACCCCAAACCGAATCCCACAGCTGGGTGAGCCTGTGCGTCTAGGAATTCGGGCTCCAGGGATTCGGTATACCGCCGGAAATCTGGTGTCGGGTTTAGGGTTTAGGGTTTAGGGTTTAGGGTTTCTTTTTTTAAGCCGGGCCTTTTTCCGCCTTGGAACGTCACTTTGACTAGGCCGATCCCTATGAACGGTTTAGGGTTTAGGGTTTGAGCATTCCTAGAAAAACTTTGTTACGGTCTAGGGTTTAGGGTTTAAAGTTTTTACGGCTTGGGGATATGAGATGCCGTCAGAGAATCCGTTGAGTTCAAATTTTCTTCGCACACGCAAACCTTGCCAACAGCCCAGCGGCTCTCGCCCAAGTTGTCCGTACAGCCTGAGCCAAAGTTGGTGTTTAGGGTTTTGATTTCAGGGGTTTCTGGATCTTTCTGGCTTGGACGTCCGATCTTCCTTCTTTGGCGTTTTGGTTTTGGGCCTGGACAACGGGATCTGGGATGAAGGTTGGAGGTTCGGGTTCTATGGCGCTTTCGGGATTTTTCAAGTTCTAAAAGGCTTTAGGGATATTTCTCAGGTTTTATAACGTTTTCGGGATATTTCTCAAGTTCTATAGGACTTTGGGGGTCAGGGTTCAGGTTCTTTCGGGGGTCGGGAATTTGGGACGCATGCCGTTTCGTGAGACGCCCTGAAGCCTCAGGATGAGGGTTTAGGGCTTAGGTTTAGGGTTTAGGGTTTAGGATTTGGGGTTTAAGGGTTTAGGGTGCAGGATTTAGGGTTTAGGTTTAGGGTTTGGGTTTAGGGTTTAGGATTGGGTGAGTTTAGGATTTCGGGTTTAGGGCCTAGGGTTTCGGGCTCTTTGGGGCTTTAGGGGCCTGAAGAATTGGATGAAGGTTTGGGACTCCTTTTAGGGCTTCTTTTTGTTTGAGCCCCTTTTTACTCCTGCCTTTGCTTCAAGACTCAAGTAAGGCCGAATCAGGGTTCAGGGTTTAGGGTTTAGGGATAAGGAACCCTAAGGAAGAGTATAGGTAAGCGTTCCGGCCCCAATATGGGTAGTTCTCTAAACCCGTTTGGATTCCGTACCATTTTGGGGACCTCAAAACGGACCCTAATTTAGAGAACAACTCATATTGCACCCTGAACCCCAAACCCTAAATCCTAAAGATCCCTTAGTAGATCCCTTCAAGGAAGCCTATCCTAATTTAAAGAGCATCCCTCGACCCTAAACCCTGAACCCTAAATCCTGAACCCTAAACCCTATACCCTAACCCCTAAATCCTGAACCCTAAACCCTAAACCCTGAACCCTACCCTAAACCCTAAACCCTGAACCTGAATGGCCTTGGGCCCCGGAGGTACTTTGGTCCTCGCCCTCTGAGGGTCGAAGGCCTAGGAGGCCAGGGATGTGGAGAGTGTAGGGCTTCAGTGCTTTAGGGTTTAGGGTTTTAGGGTTTAGGGTTTAGGATTTAGCGGTTTAGCGGTTTCAGGGTTAAGGGTTTCGTGTTTTTTGGTGGTTGGCAAATTGAGCGTTCTGGGATTTAAGGGTTTTGGGGTCGGGGCCTATGGATATCCCATGAAGAGTGGTCTGAACTCTAGGAGGCCGAAAGCCAGCTGAAAGCACACTTCTCTGGCCTGGGAGTGTTGAGGGTTGAGGGTTTAGGGTTGAGGGTTTAGGGTTGATTATGCCACCTTTGATCAAGATATCCGTCCGCGGGGGAGCAAGCGCCGATTTCGTGCACTGCTTCAGGAACAGGAAAGACCTCTGCATGCCGTGGAAGAGGCTTCACAAGCCTAAGTCGAGGCTATAAAAACTTGGAAAACCTTGGCTACAATGACTCTTCACAGAAACTCCATGCAGTTCGTTCCTGCCATGCTTTTCGTCCCAGCCCAACCGGGCAAACCCGCCAGTGACCTGATGTCGTCTGGTCAACTAAAGTTGCAGCAACGATCTCATTCAAAGACCTCCACCGTGTAAGGCGGTCCACAGGGGATTGATGGTCCAGACAATACCGGTGTCGCAATCTGCTGCCTGATTCGGATCGCACTTCGACCCCATCTGTGTCCTCAAGTGGCTTTCACTCACCGCGCTCGCCTCCGCTTCAGATCGGCACACTTCTGCGTCTCACGACGGGTGCGCCTCTTCTGAACGAAGAACTTCAGGAGCATTCCAACCGTCACGATGATCGGAGCGGCTGTGCCCAAGGACGCGATGGCACCCACGAGCCCGGCAATACCAATGAGGGTGCTTGCGATAAGAACCTCTACAAGGCCCTTGACCCGCAATGAAAAGTCAAAAAATATTTTATACTCCCTGGAGTTGTTATAAGAAAACAGGAAATCAGAATGATGCCTATAAAAACACCCAGACCTTGCGGTTGAACATGTTCAGCTCCAGCAAGCATAGGGTTGGCCGCTGCTCGTACTGTCTCAAGTTGACGCTTGAGCGCCCTCCGGTCCAGGTGGCTGTTGATCCCACTCTGAACAGTAAGGATTATCCCCACTGGCGTTGCATCGGCCACTGCTTCTGCCACATCTGTCAGCACCTCGCCACCCAAGGGAAATCCAATCGCCAACCTTCGTGGTATACTTGGAGGTTCATGGCTAGTTATAAGTGGGGTTATAAGTAGGGTAACTATCCATAATAGGGAACATATAACCCCACTTGTAACTACCCATGAACCTCCAAGTATACCATGTTACACTATACCATACTGAACTGTACCATACCACACTATACCAGGCTATACTAATCTTACTCTCCTTGAATTCCCTACACCCTACGCCCTATAAACCGTAACCGCCCTCAGTGACAGAGCCCTAAACCCTAAACCCTATAGACCCTAAAACCCCCAAACCCCTAGGCCCTAAGCCCTAAAAAAACCCTCTCAACCCAATCGCCAACCTTCGTGGCCCGACTCCTTAGGGATCCGGACTCCACTTTCGAGCTCTCGCACTCGACTGTGGGCTCAAGATCTTCCTGAGCTTAGTGATTTAGGGTTTAGGGTTTAGGGTGTAGGGTTTAGGGTTTAGGGTTTAGGGTTGAGGGTTTAGGGTTGAGGGTTTAGGGTTTAGGGTTTGGGGTTTAGCTTCTCCAAGACGCGGGCCCGAAAAAAGCTCAAACTATCTATCATAGACTAATTTAGAGGGCCAAGAAGATGAAACCTTCTCCCATGGGCTTAAGTAAGCTTCATCACTGCCACCAGGACCATGAAGGGCAGCATTCAGGGGATTCATGACCCAATGGGTCTCGTCCGGGGCTTTATCCACGCCACATTTCAAACCCAGCACGGATCGGAGCGCGTTGGCATCCTTGCTCGGGGTGGCCTCAATCTCATCCTCGAAATCCGCCTCAGATCGCATCGAGGTGCAGAGAGGGAGCATTTGGCAGGAGAAGATCAGGTAGATGTAGAACGCTGAGGTCCAGGTTTTCGCCATGGCTGGAGCAACAGCGATTTCAGGTAAATGCAGACAAGGGAATTCGGGTTGATCACATCTTCGAGCCGCCATGGGCAGTCAAGCAACAAGCAGGGTGGTCTGAAGCTGGAGCATCCCTCAACTCCTAAACTCCTAAACGCTACACTGTGCTACCAGTATATAAGCCTTCAACATTGGTGTCCTCACCAAGCCGCTGACCAGGGCATTCGCCATGAAACTACATCTGCTCTGGCGCTCGCAGTTGACGGTGGAAGCTCGGATAAGGTACTCATAGGTACTCCATCAGATTCCGTTGCAGTTGCAACTCTCTACATGCCGAAAGTTTACCTTAAGCCTTACGCGTCTGCAACGCCGGATCATCGCATGTGTCCTCTTGAGCCAGAAAGAAGAATGCGTTTGTCTGGTCCACCCACGCACCGACACATGATCAAGGTCGTGGAGGCGTCGGGCACTGAGGCATCGGCACACTTGCACCGAAGCTCGCGCGCTTTTCGATGCAGCATGAGCCCGTTCAGCTCAGGGTCTGCCAAGATGAAGGTGGTTACGATATGGGCTTCTATAGCGGCTACTATAAGAGCTATTACTAATAAGGGCTACTATAAGAGTTTATAACATATTATGGGTTACGATAAGGGCCACCATATCAGTCCATGATAAGCTGCTTTGGGCAGCATTGCAGTGTTGCTGCGTGGTGCGTCGATTAGGGTGATCCTCCGCCTACAGTTCCAGCATTTTGGGAGCCTGCCAGCGTCACATGTCACCCAAGCACCACGCAAGGAGTAAGAGGCCTCTTTAACGGGGGCCTCTCTACCGGTCTCAGGTGCAGAAATACTGGTCCTGGCCGCACTGTGTACACTCGGTATCTTCCTGGTGATTTCTGGTATGGCAGCAGGAGTCCCACCAAGCCGCAAACGCGCATCGATACTCCCCGTTGTTCTTCCCGAGGGCATCGTATGCACGTTTACATTTAGGGTTGCTCTTTGTGAAGTAGTCACCATTGAAATCCTCTAAACAGGACTTCTTAAAGTAACCTCTCGGACACTTCAATTGGATGAGGTCGAAGGTGTTCTGGCAAAGTTCATGCACTTCCCAATTGGGCAGTGCACCCGTGGCATGCAAGGTGCCGTAGATCACCATTTTCACAATCCCGTCATCCTGCGCAAAGCCTGTTATTGCCCTCACGGCCGATTCATGGAGGTGCTTGCCTGCCATCTCTGTCGCCGCACACCTCTGCCAGCATTCGTTGGAAAGAGCTTTTGTCGGCTTGGCACCATAATTCAGAGCTGGGATCTGCTGTGGCAAAGTCTCGCTCTCACAGGTTCCTGGCATGGCTCCAAGAACTGTGACGATTGAGACCCTGATTTATGCTTAGCTGGATTAAAAGGAACCAGACTGGATGCAGCCCAGCGGCCGGTACGGGTCTCATTCTCCTTCAAAGTGTCATGGGCACGGATCTCGCGAATCGCTGTCTGCACGGCACGCTCTGACCAGCCCAGGCCAAAGCACCACCAAACAACCAATGCTGCGAACCGCGGCATCAAGGTTTACACAAACAACGCGACGACAAGCTTGAACCAACGGCTTCAGAATCTATCAGCCACGGTGTTGCGAGTCCGGAGAAGTCCCGAGCCGAAGCTCCTTGTGCCTGCGACACATGTCAGGAAAAAGGGTACCCGACAAGAAAGCCACACAACCACAAAGAGGGATCCTTTACACGATGCTGAGCTAGAAGCCTCAACGCCTGACGAAGTGACATCTGGCTGCTGTGCAGAGGCAGAGACACAGGAACAAACCCTGAACAAATGTCTGGATGTGGGTAGTATATAATGTATATGTATATATACATATATACATATATATATATATTTATATTTATATATATATATATACATATACATACACATCGACATTCCCGAAAACAAACCAACACACAAATCTCGTATCCGAGATGGTCTAGAAATACCTCCCATGCCCTCAAGCCTGAGCCCCGGACTCCTGAACCAACACAATGCAACCCAAGGAGCAAAAGCCAGATCTAGAGCCTCCTAAGCCCGAGACAACACCTAAACCCTAAACCCTAAACCATGAACTATAAACTATAAACCCTATAAACCCTAAACCCTAAACCCAAAACGCTGTAGGCTCCCCCGCATTCAGGGAGACCAAGTCAGATGCGCTGGCTCTGCGAGAGCCGCCTGGCCGTCCTTCCGGCTTTAAGCTTTATGGGGCTTAGCTAGCAGACCCTAACCCTCCAGGTACCTACTATATAGGGTACTAAAGCCCCTAGGGCCCTAAATAGTAGGTACCTGGACGGTTAGGGAGAGTTTAGGGTATAGGGTTTAGGGTTTAGGGTTTGGTAATTTAGGGTTTAAGGCGTAGGGTTTAGGGTTTAGTAATTTAGGGTTTAAGGCGTAGGGTTTAGGGTTTAGTAATTTAGGGTTTAGGGCTTAGATAGCGGAGTTTAGGGTTTGGGAGTTCAGGATTTATAAGGGTTTAGGAATTTAGGGTTTAGGGCTTAGTTAGCAGAGTTTCAAGACAACAACCGACCTCGCACTCGATTAAACTCTTTGAAGTCCAGAAATAAGCCTCACTCTACAATCTGTATACGCCTCTACAAGCCCTTAACCTAGACCATAAGCCAAAACCTCTTAACCCTGAGCTCAAAACTCCGAGCCCAAAACTCCCAGACCCTCAACCCCAAACCCAAATTCGATGAGGATCCTGATTATGCCGAGGTCTTCCTCGCCGTTGCTGGCTTCATGCGCATGCTTGTTGCTGTTGTCGGTGTCGAGGGGCCGGTTGGGGCTGTGGCTTTAAGGGCAGTCTGGCGTGGATCGATTTGGTTTGGGGCAGGGTTGAGGCATTTTAGGGTTTAGGGTTTCGGGTTTATAGGGTTTAGGGATTTGGTTGGGGTTCTCAGGGCCTTTAAGAGCACCGGCCTGCTTTGGCTTTCGCGGCCGACACTGCGCTGACGGCATCTCTCAGGAGCTGCGCTGCACCTGTCGGATCCCGCGGAGCCGAAGCAGTTCCAGTTTCGGGGATCTATAGGCTTCAGAGCTTGCGGTTTTGGATTTTTAGGGTTTATGGTTTATAGGGTTTATGGCTTAGGGTTTAGGGTTTATGGTTTAGGGTTTATGACGCTAATTAAACCTGATGGGGCGTAGCTGACTCTTACATCCGATGGGGCGTTGTATGCAGAAGCTCGGGCCAGGCAGCTCTGGGTATCCACCTGGCCCAAGATACTACCCAGAGAGCCCAGTAATCCTAAATTAAGGAATATATGCCCTAAGTTATAGGGACCTTAATATTTATGGTTTAAGGCATCTTCCTTATTTCAGGGGTATTGGGCTCTCTGGGTACTGCTCAACTCACTTCACATCTCCCTAGTGTAGTGAGTTGTGGGTTTAGGGATTGGGGGTGCAGAATAGGGCTATGGGATATACTCTATAGGATGCTTTGAGCCGTAAGCAAGGTTTGATTCAGGCAGTCAGAGCTCTATATTCCACCTGAAGCCAAGAGTGAGAGATCAGAATCTGTCCCCGAAAGCTTGAAGCCCCTCCTACCGAAGCCGGTTAGAGCACAGAGGTCCGGACTGGGGACAAAATGGAGGTTGAAGGCGGTTCATTTTGTAGGAAGTACATGGCTTTACGGATTTAGGTTGGGGACTTAGGACTTTGGCCTTAAGAAAAAAAAGGGTTTAGGACTCTCAGGATCTAAGGGTTTAGGGCTTATGGGTTAGTCTTACCATCATAGGTTCTAAGAGTTGTGGGAACTACGGCCATAGAGCTCCGTGGTTCCTGCTGGGAGCTCCTTTCCCTCAAATTGGCAGGCACCGGCAATCTACAGCAGTGCCAGTACCATGGTCGTTCAAGAATGCTGGGCATCATCACATTCTGTCAAGATAGTTCCTCTATGGAAATGGCTTTGGTCATGTAGTACTGTAGGTTATACTCCTCGCGGAGACGGCTACATGCACAGCGATGAGAGCCCTGTATGGGACTTAGGATAAGGGGGACCCTTGGGGACATAGACCCTCTCTTTAAGAGAGCCAGAAGTAGGGTTAAGAAGGGTCCCCTTTTAAGGGGTCTCCCTACTGCTACCCTAAACTGTAGAACACATCCTGTGGCCGCGGCTGGTAGCGCCGGGCGTTCGGGGGCTGCTGCCGGGCGTGAGTGTAAACCTCGGCTCTCTAGTCAGGTTTCCCAAAGGGTCCTAGGTACTGTTATGGGACATACTTCCCCAAAACATAATTCCTAGTATAGAAACCCCACATTCTACCATATAGGTACTTAGGACCCTTTGTTTTAGGGCCGTTGTATTTAGGGCTTTTGGGCTCGCCCTTAGGGCGAGAGTTTAGGCGGTATGTAGGGTTGAAGCTTTCGGGAGGAATGGGGACGCCGCGGAGATTTCGAATCTCGGACTGCAAGGCATTCGACTCAGGATGTCGGCCCTCCCACAGGACATGGGCTGCAACTCAGCATCACTTTGCGATTCATGATTGTTGTCAGAGTTTAGGGTTTATTTTTTTAATGTTTCGGGTTACCTAAGCAATCGTCTTCGGGCAGACTTCACCAGCCGCATAGTCACGCAGTGCCTACCAAACCGCCAGCCCAACGTCTAACCCTAAACTGACAACCGAGAGCCGTTTTCGCCCAACAATGAATCTAAAACCCTGAAGCTGCCTGAAACCTTTAAAAAAATCCAAGCTTTAAACTACAGGGGCGCGCGCCCTTCCTCCTCCATCTTCTGACTGCGCGCATCCCTAACTCGGGCCGCCATTGCTGCTGCCTGCCCGAAAAAATCGGAAAGCCCATGAGGGTTCCGTTAATTTAAAGGCTGTACAGGCTAGGGCTTTGAAGCCACGAAGGGGTTTTGTGACGTTTTATCCGCGGGTCCAAATCAATCGGATGCTCAAGGGTTGTCGTAGGGCTTGCTGTGGGGTTGTGCCGGACCCATGTACCGAAATAGTATACACTTCGGCCTCAAAACGCTAGAAGTATTTCAAGGCCAAAAGTAGAAAGTATCTGGGCACGTGGACCGTTCGGGTGTAGCATGAGCAGCGGCGGCGATTGTGTCCTTTCAGACTGTAGAGTTGGGCGCCTCCATACGGCTTCCACGACCCTTAACGGTTTAGGGCTGATGGGGTTCATAGGGTTTAAACAGGGTAGGCTCAAGGTTTAGGGCTTATAGGGTTCTTAGGGTTTAAATAGGGTAAGATGAAGGATTGCAAGCCTTGGCGATTCAAGGTAGAGGTGCGAATCGGAAGGTTCCCCAACCTAGTGCGAACCTCCATGCTTGTCTGTACAGTCACACAAATCACAAGCCCGTTTCCACGATTAGAGGCCCTTGCGTGCCACGCACAATCACAGTCAGCAACCTGTAGGATCCCAGAGGACTCCAAACCAGGCGAACAGAAGCCATTGGAAATGTCACCAGTGCCCTGATGACCAAATGATGGACTAGAAAAACTGTGTGGAATACACCCCAAACCCTAAACCCTAAACCCTAAACCTAAACCCTAAACCCTAATTAAACCCAAAACCCTAAACCCTAAACCCTAATTAAACCCTAAACCCTTCGAAAACCTGGGGGCGCCAGCAGGCCTGGAGGGTCGCCAACTCTGCATGGGTGGAGGTGCGGCGCATGGCTGGCGCGGCGCAAAGAAAGCTTGGGTTAGGTTTACCCGGGTTTACCCTAAGGGTCCATGTACTCAAGTAGTATATACTTTGGGCCGAAAGTACCTAGATATGGACTACTTTAAGGCCAAAGTACATACTATTTGGGTACGTGGACCCTTATGTTAGGGTTGACCTTAAACCCCAAACAGCTAAACAAGCTGCTAGCCTTATATTGAGATCTTACAAGAAGAAAGGAGAACAAAGGGCCCCAAACATGGGGGTCTGCCAGCTGCCAGGGTTGACGTGGGGTTAGGGGTTCAATGTTGGCTGCGTGTTTAAAGCTTGAGATTTAGGTGTTGGTGTAGGGCTTCGAAGATTGGGATCGGGTCCGGGTATGGGGTGCAGCTTGTGATTCCGTGCTCCAGGATTTAGTAGAGGGAATGCACCACAAATGTCCTATAACATTTCTCATGCACGGTTTATTTTATAATTCGTATATAATGCAGACCATGTCCAAAGCATAGGTTACACGATAGTCACCTAAGTGAATGCCATTCAGGGCCTCAGCAGAGCCCACACCCGATCTTTGCCACATCTGTACGGAAAGCAGGAACGATGTCCACGCTCACGGTTTAGGGTCTGTAGGGCTTGTAGAAATTCAGAAAGCAACCCTAAACCCTAAACCCTAACGTCAACCCACCGAAAACTTGAACACCTCGATCCCATTCCTCAACCTGACACTCAATACTTTCAAGACCACAGCGCGCAACAAGCACCACTAGCCCAACAGTAAACCATGTACTCGTACCCGAAAGCCTAAATCCTAAACCTCAAGCCCCCGAAACCCACAAGCCCTAAACCCAGAGAACCTGGGCTGTTCTCCTCCGAGGAATTCTGTCTCGCTGTAACAGCGTTAATCA